ATTGCATATTTCTATATGATTTTGCAATACCTAAATGATCTTGCAAGCTATGGGTTACTGTAAGTTAGAATTCAATGAATCCTATACAATAGTAATCGAGCATTTATCTTATTGAGTGAAATTTTCTAGCCGGCTGTAAAAAGATGTATAGCATCGTCTGATGTGTCTATATGCACTGCCCACGTGTCAGTTACTGCTGTGAAGCGAGATCTAATTAAGCCAGACATGGTTGTGATTATGGATGTACATTACAGGGGTCATATGTAAGGACCGTCAGTCGTAAGTTCACATTAGGTTAGAATTAATGCAATGTGGATAGTTATTTACGTTTCTGAATAACAAAAGTGATAGATTTTATGTATAATCGGATAGGTGGTGAAAACATATACCGCTTTTGCTGTCATCTTGTCATGCAAGACTACAACTATCTATATTCATTCCAAAGAACCAGATGAGGATAGTTCAATAAGGAAGCCTACAAATAGAGAGTTCAGAATAGAGAGGATCAGAGGAAAAACCAAGCATACACGCTAGATGTGGAGTATACCAAGCCTAAAGATGAACGATTTTAAGTGATGCAAGACAGTGTTGACATTGTAGCCTTTTCACCACTCATCGTTACTATGATGAACGAATCCGTAATCCGTAACACTGCTACTAAATTCCAATAACGTAAATATATTGGACTGTAATTGAAATTCTTAGTGTATGGATTAAATAATTTTAAAAAAATATTTTACTGTTTAAGGGAAGTCGTATTTGTTTATTTCGTATTAATAATATCGCTTAGTTCTCTATCACTGTTCTATCTACTCACACTGGGAAATAACATCGAGGGAGGTCATTCCCTAAATAACGATCGCCAAATCAATTAACAGGACACAACACACCAACCCCATTTCAAAACCTAATAGCATTTATTCTGAATTTTGTTTTATATTATTGCATTTTTTTTTCATTTATTGTAGAGATGATATAATACGTCTTCAACAACACTTAGCATCAAGTCTGTAAATTATATAGAGTACCAGTCATTTTTAAATACCTGTCTGGTTGTATAGACTAAAAAATCAGGTGGTCAATTCTCTATCCTTGGTAGTAATTAATGTTGTTTCAAATCAGTTTCATGGCCCAGGGATTTGTTGATTTAGCGTAATGGCCTTGAACACTGAATTAAAAAACTTCTTGCCATCAACAACTCCAGCAAACACGCAAGAACGATAACAATCATAAATTGCATGAATTATAACTGTCCATAGAGACGTCTCCTTTCATGCCGTACATGAAAGATCATTTTATGTTCAAATTAACGTGAGGGACACAGCCACCACGCCTCCATGTTGTCTCCAAACAATATAGAACTCAAGAGAATTAGAAAAAATATTAAGATCGATTCATTCTTTCGAGCAATTAATTCTAATAATTTGAAAGCTGCAAAGCAAGCAGGAAAGGTTTGCCTTGCAGTTCAATTGGAATTCCGTTGACATTTCAATACGCTTTGCTATCAAGCAAGGCAATACTTGATTTGAACTTATACATGCACGAGTACAGACGATTTGGTTGCAAGACTCTTGCTGATAGCCACGATTGCTGGAGGATGGGTACAGATAAAAAATATTATAAAAGTATTCATTAGAAAAACTGAAACAGGAACTTTATTTCATAACGCTCATGTTTATCAATATAATGACATTATATGACAAAATTTATTTGGCACTATAACACTACATTGTAAAGGGTCATAAAGTAGCATCAGTGAGTAAATACGGTAAGTCACGTTATATAATAATTTGATAATTTCCACATGACATCATATCTAGAATTCAACCAATTAAAACCCGCTCACTGACTCATTCTAGCAGGTGACTGACTCAGATTTTATATCTTTTAACGTTTGTCTTTGATAGGGAAGAAAATCATTTTAGCCTGCTGTGTTTGTGTATTGATAACCATTAACATGTTGAAATATATTCCTATGATTATCCAAAATACACTTGAAAACATTCTGTGATGACGAGATTAGACACTTGTAAGACAAGACGATTGATAAGAATCAAGTAAACATGTTCTTCGCCACCTGAACCGGGCGTCAAGCCTGTTGTAGCGCGTATGTCGAAATTATTAATAGTGTCTTAAATTCGTATTGATTTTAAACATATCATTAAACTTGTGGCATATAATATTATCCAATTAGTTTAATGAACTTTATATTAAATAAATATTTATATAAAGGTTTCTATAGATGATACAGTCACTGATTAATTCTTAGAATAGAATGCGACGAAACAAGTTCAAAAATGAACGAAATTTCTCTTTTCTTTCTTGACTCGCACAAAAGAAAGCATATAAAGAATTATCTAGTGAATGAAGGATGAGTCCTCATTTTCCTTTAATTAAAATTTGGAATTTGTTTTGAAATGTCAGCGTGATTTTATTTTATTAGTGAGCTGATAAAGGTAAGAAAGAAGCAGGATTTTCAAGAAAGTTGCAAATTAAGAATTCAAAATTTGAGCCATTGTCACGTAGCAAGACCTAGACTGACAACACTTAAATTGGACGTAACTAAGTCACTCTGGACTTGTATTTGAGCATGGGACCTGTCAAGGGCGATGTAATTGTCCCATTAGATTTTGTCATGTTGACGTGACATATATGCAGATGGGATTTTGCATTTGGGGAAGCATATCTGGATGTAGCTAAGTCATATTGGACTTGAGTATATTGGGATATAAGTTATATTGGACTTACATATAGAAATATATTTGTAGACGGGACAGCAATTTTAAAAACAGTGAACTTGAATATGAGCATGAGACTTACATGTAGGATGCAGCTCAGACACATTGCATATGGGAATGTAACTAAGTCAAATTGGACATGTATATGGGAATGTAATTTAAGTCAGATTGGACTTGTATATGGAGATGTAACTCAGTCACACTGGACTTGCATATGGGCGTTAACTAAGTAACATTAGACTTTATATGAAAATATAACTTATATTTCGGGATGTAACTAGCATATACATCAAAATGTGACTTTTTTTATGGGGATATGGCTACGTCAGACTGGACTTGTAAATTGGGATGTAGCTACGTCAGACTGGACGTGTAAATGGCGATGTAGCTACGTCAGACTGGACTTGTAAATGGGGATATAGCTACGTCAGACTCGAATTGTAAATGGGGATATAACTACGTCACACTGGACTTGTAAATGAGGATACAGCTACGTCGCACTTGACTTGTAAATGAGGATATAGCTACGTCACACTGGACTTGTAAATGGGGATGTAGCTACGTCACACTGGACTTGTAAATGGGGATGTAGCTACGTCACACTGGACTTGTAAATGAGGATACAGCTACGTCAGACTGGACTTGTAAATGGGGATGTAGCTACGTCGCACTTGACTTGTAAATGAGGATATAGCTACGTCAGACTGGACTTGTAAATGGGGATGTAGCTACGTCACACTGGACTTGTAAATGAGAATAAAGCTACGTCACACTGGACTTGTTAAATGAATTCATTGTGAGTTGGAACAACATATATCAAATAGCCGTTCAATTTAGACATGGAAATTAATGTTTGATCAAGAAATTTGACTAGACGCCGTCCGCGTGTCTCTGAAGTTATTTCACCGCTCCGGTGGCCTAGCGGGAGGTCGCAGGTTTGATCCCCGGCCGAATCATACCAAAGACTTTTTTTTAAAAAATGGTACTTACTGATGCCTCGCTTCGCGCTCAGCAAAAAGAGTTTAGTCTTAGGACTGGTCTATCTAGTGTCAGAATAAAGTGACTGGGTGGGAGATCATGTTACAATATATACGGCATGATGCCCCAGTGCTAGATATCACTATAAAACTGCCACACTGCAGATATCGTAGCAATATGACTGAAAAATTGTTAGTTACGCTAAAAGTCTAAATTACACACACACACACACACACACACACACACACACACACACAATCACACTGAAGTTATTTCTCCTTACCTCCTTGACAAGAACGACAAGTTCACTGAATCGGACTTGCATTGGTTTCAGATAGGGTTAAAAAAATGACAAAATATAATGCATTTGACAGATTAGGTCATCCCAATGCTACCGCTTTCCTATGTTACGTAATTTTCTACAGTCAGGCTGTGAATGTGAGGTGAATTTACTAAAAGGGGTGAGGGTGAGTGCATTGTGTGAATGAGTTTAATCTTTTTAACTTCGATTCTGTAGCAAATTTGGTATGTACTATAATGTAAATCTTTTCCTAAGTCAATACCGGATATATTTCATCATTTGGTACAAAAAGCTATATATTCTCCACTCGTTAAAATACTGTTTTTGTACCACACGACAAAATATATGTTATTAGCGTAGGAAAAGAAAAAAAAAGTATATATAGAGATTCACGACACGACAGCACAACGCTGGCAATATAGTGCCAAATTAAAATCTGATTTATCAAATGTACGGATAAAAGATGGTAGCATTAAACTCTTGGAATAATATTTGAAACCTGGATTAAGTTGGGATTTTAAAGAAAGTAATTTATAGGCTCGAAACTACATTATTTGCCTCGCCATAATTATTATATATAATTAACCAAATATAGCTTGGCTTGATACATCTAGACAATATATGTTGTTGTGCAAAAAAACTGGATCCCAGAGAGAGAGAGAGAGAGAGAGAGAGAGAGAGAGAGAGAGAGAGAGAGAGAGAGAGAGAGAGAGAGAGAGAGAGAGAGAGAGAGAGAGAGAGAGAGAGAGAGAGAGAGAGAGAGAGATATTGTGATTTGGATTTTTAGTTTTAATAACATTTCTGTCATAGTGCTAAGATGTTTGAAGTGTGACAGTTTATAGTGATGTCTAGCACGGGGGCATCATGTCGCATACATAAAGCATAATGTCCCATTCAGTACATTATCCTGACTTCAATCCGTTCAGTCCATACACTAATCTCTCAATGCTGAGGCAGCTATTAGTACATTTTTTATAAGTCTTTGGTATGACTAGACGGGTTCCAGCTCGCGACCTCCCGCATCCGAGGCGGACGCCCTAACCACTAGGCCACCTGAGCGGTCAGAGAGAGAGAGAGAGAGAGAGAGAGAGAGAGAGAGAGAGAGAGAGAGAGAGATTGTATAACGAGCAACATCCTAAACCCATTACACATTTAAATATTAATACAAAAGAAACGTATAGGTTATACAGATTTGCATAGCAGGAATATACCAAACGATTAGTCTTCTCCATCTTGTCGATCACATAATTTAAATTATCTACTTGTATCAAGGCAAGGTGTTTCATTAACCTTTTGTCTGATAATATCTGAAACATTTTAGATTTACAATAATTGACTGAACTCACGACTAACATAGGAAATAAAAATGTTGGTAATTGATTAGGCCGGGAAAGCTGCCATGAATTTAAAGTGTGGAAACCTTAGTCTTGTAGGGCATTAAAGTCAATATTATTGATCCATTCCATTACGTTGGTATGAAATCCCGGCAAAATGATGCAGCAAACAGTAGATTTGGAATGAACAGATTGCCAACGAAATTGCTAGGATTTTTAACCCAAACCACAGATGTAAGCTAAAACCTGCTGGTTTATTCATGGTGAACTTGTCGATACTTGAACCGTGCTTTGTCAAAGGTGTCGCGATACAGGAATATGTTATAATACAGCGGTCCTGACATGATCCACACAATCTGACAATCTGAAACATATTTGTCTGCCAATCCAATGCATAGTTCCGATATTGAACGATAAGCTCCGCCTGTAGTTACTGTTGCACCAACTCACAGGCTATAGTCAAATGACCGATTCGTTGTATCAGCAACAAATTCGTTGGAAAATATACACGACAATATTTCTGAATCTTTCTGATCGTGTGCTAAGGAAGGCTTGAGCTACTAAGCACAGAGATACACGTATTAAATTAAGATTTTCGATGGGGAAAATCAGATGAAAGTTGCATGACTTTGCTTGCAATCTTTCAAAGAACTTAAACTAAATATTTTAGTCCTTACAAAATTGTGTATGTTTAATATTTAAATCCTAGTATCTAGTATAAATTCAGCATCTTGGCTAAATTTAAAATACCGTTTATGTTATAGCACCCATTAAATGTATATTGCACATGTTTACTTGTCAGGTATGAATATGAAACTAAATACTTTTTCTAGTCTGTTATAGCAAATGTTTGTATTCATTACGAAATATTAATTTAATTGTGTTGATGAAAAAGTATTAAAGTTACAAAAATAATAAATAAGTAATATACACAAAGTTGTCTCATTCAGTAATTTGTAAGAGATAAGTTTTATTTAAAATAAGAATTAAAAATACAATAAATGACAGGACATAGCTTGATATTATTCATAATCAGATGGCTAATGAAGACGAGAGAAATAGTTTATTAAAACCTGATCATTTCATAAATTTAAAATATCATGTAAAGCTAAAACCTTCATAATAAAATGTTCATTCAAAATAATATGAGTTTACATTTGGAAATAAATGATGTAAAATACACTTTTACAAGTACAGATATTGAATCAAATTAAGGCCATTCCATAATTTCACGAATAGTATCGAAATTGGTTACACAACCCAGAACCTACAGTAATTTATTAACTTTCTCCAACAAAACAATTTTAACAGGCTACTTCATGTTGTTTTCCACATTACAAGGAAAATGTTCAAACATTATTGGTGGTTTCAAAATTCTTAATTTTGAGACGGTACTTGACCAGCAGAGTTGTCTTCGACATTTATGGCATGTGCTTAGGGGAGCTAAAATGCAGCATGTTCCTATCAACCATGTAGTGTTTGCCACACCATCAGAGAATAGAAAAAAGAAAATAAATTTTTTCTCATTTTGATATTAGTTGCAAGTAAATGCTCAATTTTGCAAACTTTAACAAAACCAGTACTAATAAAAAAAATTATTTAGGATTTCAGGTATCTCAAACTTATTAAAACCAACCGCAAACAAACAAAACAATTCAAGGTAATAATACGATAAAAGATTAGAAAAACGTATACATAATTTCATTATTGCATAAAATATTTTAACTGAAATAAGCTATACAACTCGAACATAAAGCATCCAATTAGCGTTAAATTGTATTAACAATTTTTACAAGTAAAAACTAATGTCACTATTTTAAAACAGTATTGTATATTTAGTTACACGATATGGTTATCTATCACTTCCGACACAGACTTGTTTCAATTTAGGTGTTTGATCTGGAAACAAAACCTCCGACATGAATCCGTTGTGTTAAGCAACAATCTTGATTGCATGTACTCCAGCCACAACAGCAAACCATTTTTTTTCTGATAAATTTTCAGTGATTTTATGAGCAATATTTCAAATTCTTTATCAGTGCAATAAGAAAAAAAAAACAAGCATGGTATTTTGTTTGTGAGCAAGATATGACTAACAGCAAAGCATCATTACGCAGTTAGTTCCATAGCTATTCTTGATTGGTCAAACATAACTGATGTACCCGGTTTGATTTACAGGTGGGAACAATCCATTATTTCATTTGCTTGCAAAATGAGAATTTTTACAAAGTTATTGCATTTGGTTCTGATGTTGAATAATATTTTTCAAGATATCAGATTGTTGATCCATATGGTCATGAACCTATTGCTGTCTCATAAAGACATTGAGGTATTAAAGCTCAAGAGGTCGCAGAGTACAGACAAAATTCTAAACTTGACGAAGCAAGAGACAGAGACGGCTTGAATTTTAAAAAAAATACAGCTTCAAAAATTTATATTTTAAATTCACATATAACGCAGTAGAAAAGGCTATTGGTGAACACAGCAAAATGTATCTCAGATTTTGTTTAGTTATCTAGAATTTCCTTGAAACTTATGTAAAATAGTAACAATCTTTATGCTTGGCATGCACCAGTTAGTGCATTTGTCGCATGCGAAAATTTGTGAATCATCTTATGACATCACAGTCTTAAAATCCGCTTTCTTTCGTGCATAATCTAGCAATCCTCGCAATTTGTTGTTTCATCCAAGTACAGAAAGTATTTTCAGGTCTTTGCTTGTTGTGTCCAACTAGAATTTCACCTTTTTGTGACTAACCTGTGGTTCTCACTTCAGTATGACGTGCTCATACATAGCTCGATATTGTAAACAATGAACAAAACAAATACAACAATAACAACAAAATTATTTGTTGCTTACGTTTGGAGTATGAAATACAGCCTTTTGGAAGGCAACACTTTTAAATGAAGGACGAATTAAGGTCATTCTACATGAATGATCTGTTTTAATGCTTCCATATTGGGACATAATTTAAGTCAATTGTTTCAAGATTTGTAAGTAAATATAAGAGACAAATCAGATAGCTCGTGTACGCGCTATATGTCACTTTTTGCGGCTATGGGTGTCATTTTGGAGAATTTGATTACACATGCCTTGAAATGGCATTTTTCCACTTCATTTTGCGCCTTGTCCATCAAAATTCTACTTAAGATTAACGGCAAATTCAATCATAACTAAAGTTGACCTTGTGAGGCATAGTCAAGCCAGCGGGGAGATACTGTCAAAGAGATTTTTCTAACGCGCTATGATGTAAAAGGGAAAGCGCCTTGGGCTGGGAAGAAGCTGTACTATAAATATAAACAGAAAAAAGACAATGACGTCATTTATAAAATAAAGCCTCGAAAACACCGGCAGGACAATCAAAAACGGCACACGAGCACAATAAATCGAAGGCAATTATGTGACTTCATATATATCGTCTGTATGTTATGTCATGTCTTTTATTTCAATTAGCAGCTATTTTTCCCATGCAGATATGTTCTTTCATATGCATCAATTACAATAAAAACACCGCTGTCAATTCAGATTCATTTAGTTAAATTTTACATCGTGCTAAATTATCATTTTGAAGAAATGCCATATGTGCAAATTAAGAATATAACTTATTGTCTGTTACTTCTCTATCCCATTCATAGTTGAACACCTATACAGGAGGTGAATGAAAATATACGTGACTTCCTGTTCACACAATCTTAAAGAAACCCCTAAAATAACCTTGATTACCCCTGCACTAGTAATAGTTAAATACAATATAACTTTTTTTTACCCATTTTAATATCGAACTGCCATTGCAAAAGTCCATAGCGATCGATAATTTTCGTCAGGAAAATTTTTTATGACAATTAATGTGCAGTTCACTCAAAAATCACTAATGAATAAACTTTGTTTCGATTTGATTTTAAAACTAAATTGGTTTTTAAATTTATATTAGTAAATGCGCTTACATGATCCGTGTAAGTTATACTATAGAGATGGGATATCCCTCTGGTTTCTCTATGATGTAAAGAGTGAATCTGAATGTACTCTCTCTCTCTCTCTCTCTCTCTCTCTCTCTCTCTCTCTCTCTCTCTCTCTCTCTCTCTCTCTCTCTCTCTCTCATTTTTATACTACTGTACTGATGCATGTACTATATGGTCTAACATCGTCAATTTATATACTTATATATTTTGTTTCTCTGGCAACGTAGAAACTATTGAACAAGGAAACTTTTAAGTATGAAAAGAAACCCCTAAGGCGCCTCTACTCAGCTAACTTGACATGTGAAACAAGTTTGGTTGTCATACCATAAACGGTCTGAGAATTATGCTCCGGGAACGAAAATGTTTACGTGCACATAGAGACACCTCACCACGATGCAGAAAAATCAATATTATCACCAAAGACACGGTAGATGTTGCTGGTGCTCTTGTTTTAGTTAAACATGCATCCTGACATTGTAATGGTATTTTCCTTTCTAGGTGGGTGCCATTTCTGCAGTTGTCAATTTTAAAGATTGGAAAATGTCAGTCATTGTTTAATTATATCAGTCTTCACTACTGATATTACAGTTGCTTCCATCATCGCCTTGCACAGAAATCGATCTTCTTCGATACTTTATGCATTTGTCGCCTCATTATGACCTTGAGAGACATTCAGTACTCGTTAACTAAGTCTATTCAAGTATCACAAATGTTATATATTTTACAAATTATGTATCTGCTAGTAAATTTTTTTTAGTACT